AGTTTAATATAATATCGTGTAATATAATATAGACGCTTGTACGTAGTAGTTAGGTGAGCTTGAGCTTTGACATTTAAGCCACTTAAGTACTGTAATACATGTATTCATCATGCGTCCATTTGGCCTTGAATTTGAATTGAAGAACATTTCCAACAAGATATGTTGAGAGTCGTAAGGACAACTGGTGAAAATAACGATCTGGGCCATGCTTCAGACACGAGCGAAAATGAAGGCGCGTATGAGTTCTATAAGCCATTATGTGCATTTTTTGTCTGCTAACCAAACACGAGTGAAGATTTCCCCAAAGGTTCAGATGTAAGTTTGTTAATTTCGTAACTAAAAATCAAGGTGACTCGGTAAACTTATCCTATGTTATCCCAGAATTGAAAAGATACACTACTGCCATGCTGCATTTTTGATAATATAAAGCTGCGACAAATGTTAGTAATGTGGCAACAATGAACGACGGTGGGACGCTTATGAACGCTACGCGGCTACGAGGTGGGATGTAGGCGTGTCTGCTCATTTCCGGAATAGCTTCTAAAGGGAGCGCTCTGTATTGAGGATCAGCCATGGTGCGGAGCTCAAAGTTACTTCATCTGTCAAATTGTTTATCCTAAGTCAGACGGTTTAATGGCGCGGTGAAGCATGATGATAGCTATGATGTAAAATTTCCAAGCAAGGAAGATTTCTCAAATGAATTTTCCATTACCTAAATATTTCATACATCGCACAACAAATCTACAGATATACATAGAATATTATACATAAATAATGTACCTTGCTGGTCATAAAGAGAGGACGATAACGGTGCGGTGAAGCCATTATTCCGCCATAGACTGTGTCAAACATTGCAATTGTATTGTGCAATAATAGAAGCTAACCTTCGTGCAATGGGAAATCGCCAATGAGATGCACTATCCGTTAACAACCTTAGAAAGAGGGATCACCGCCGGACTAATGTGCTGAATCGCTCAGAATTCTAATCTGGGAATCGTTTATCGCTATTTATATGCCAGCCTGTTCCTATTCGTGACAATGATCATTAGTAGAGCAAACGCAGCTGATTAGGTTGGAAAAACAGATCAGGCGGAACCTTAAGGCAGAATAGCGGCGACGTGTTGTGGACAAAACATATCGTTTACCATCGCCACATAACTTCTGCCAAAGAACCTCGTTCCAGTCTCCCTTTGTGCAATCCGTGAAACGAACTTGTTGTATCGGATTGCCTTTACTCGTCGATGAACTTTGTTATAGTGCGCTTTTTATTGGGAATCCATGTTTCTTCATTGTCGACGTTATACATACGCCGCGTGACTCATCGCCGGGACATTAAAAGCCTTTATTTACAGCCAACTGTCGGCATTGGCCATTCATTCCTGTTTAACAAACATGCTTTTTACGAGACAACGAACTTGGAGTTAACGTAGGTTGTGCTTTTAAATTATTGTGCTGGCGTACTAAGAACTTACGTTTTTCCCCTAACGCTTGTTTATTGCTTTGCGGAAACCCATTTTTTACAGAGATGCTTCGGTAATGGTTTTAGCTACTGCAAGGTTCAGTTTCTTTAATATACCAGAACGGAGAATTTAGTAGACGATGTCTAAAAACGTCACCCGTAGATTTTTTGCCATGCCACCGTGAAGACTGCTCATAGGCCTTGATAGTCAGGCGCTCAAAAACCCAGCAGTATGTCGACCAGTAATCATGCTGAAATCTCCGAATTGATTCGCTTTAAGGTAACCAATATAGATTTATGAAGCGTATTATTTGGTGGTGCCATATTTTCAGGGACCAAAGCCCATATCTGCTGCGGCGTTGTTGAACCCAAACCAGTGTTGATACCCGATAATTTAATGCTATTAATGAATTAGTAATGAAAAAAAGAACCCAGAACTTTTCACTCAGTTCGCAAAACAATTTTAAAAGTGGCTCTCCAATTCAGCCATTTAAGATGGCGACTAATAAGTCTCACGTTTGAAGTCTGTTATACTGTACTGTGAAAAAATGAAGCATTTTTCAACGTGCCGCCGTATCATTTCCATCACAATGCCACTTCGTTTTTTATACTTTGCCTATAATAGGCATGTATTCAATGTCAATCATGTAGTACGGACCGAACTTTTTTTTACTTTTATAGAACATACCAAAAGTACACAGCAAATCAAGGTTAAGATGGAAATCGCTCATAGTCGATAACACTTCTCTCTCTACATAGTAGGCAAACTTCGATCATTCGTTCATCAGACCGAGTCCTTCATCCTATAACACCTTCGAATGTAGTGATTGTCAATTGTTTAGAGAATCACTCAGATTGCTTAAAAACTAGATCTGGTTAAAATTTGTAGCATAACAAGAACGGTGTTTCTGGCCACATTGCACATGCCACAGTCCTATACCTGCAAATACCCCCTTTTGAAATAATAAAGGTAATGGAATAGAAGCAGATCACAAGGCTGTACGCAAAATGAAGTGCGTAGTTAGAATCGAAGCTGCCTAATAGTTCTCAGAATTGATGCAATCATACGTTGTTGAAAGTCGAGGCATAGAGAACAAGCACCTCATGTTTTCAATCCTAGCATATGAGCTAAAGACGTTCATTAGTGTCTTGTACGCGGCTGTACATGCCAGTTAATCGTTTAATTATGTGATGATCTTGTCTGACCTGTATTAAGACTTGAATTAGGTATGTAGAACAGTCGGATATGCTCCAGTCAGTGTTGCTTCCAGCCCGTTGATAAGCACAAGGCCTTCCCCTTCTTCCTTCTCCTTTATATTAAGAAGCCAGTTTTTGCAGCTATACCTACTTATGATAGGAGCAAACTATAGCATATAACCGAAGCTCCCGAACCAAGCAACCGAAGCTCCTTATCCCGTTCAGGCTATAAGCTTGTAAATATAATGCCTTTGAATTGCTACCTTGTAGCATTCGCAACTATTTCGACACTTTGTAGTTTTTTTTTTTTTTCTGGGGGTAAAGGATAGGTGAATTCGATGAATAGGTATTTTGAAACAAAGTATGAACGATCACATTGGAAGAGAGCTTTTCATGTAATATGAATACAATTGCCTGATAAAGTTTTTGTGTTCTTTGCTCTGGTCCATCATTGCCAATGCTCAGCACTTCTTAAATAAAATATGTTTGCAGAGAATATAACTCTTCGCTCATAAATTACTAAGTTTTTTTTTTATTCCAAATTAACAAACTTAGTCCCAATTTAATCTTCTATTTCGAAGTAATCCTCGCCGAATGCGCCACACTTACGCGGCCATTTTTTTAGCCGTCGGGACACAATTCGAATGCAATCGTCGGGATAGCTTCAGACTCTTTTATTGTGTCGAAACGCTTCCGGTACGAACTTTTTTTTTTTTAGATATGGGAATAGAAAAAAGTGGCAGGAGGCTAGGTCTGGTAAATACGAGGGTTGGGGAAATGCACATACGGAGTTTTTTTTGCAAAAACTGCTGTGTAAGTAGTAAAGTGTGGAACGGTGCATTGTCGTGATGAAAGACGTCGGTCCTGTAGTGCCACAATGGTGGCCTCCTACGTCATAAAAACTCGCGCAATTTCCAAGCTTAAAATTTCTTGACAGTACTGTTTTAAGGACCGTGTAACCGGACGGCTGGAACTCATGAGGAACGGTTTCTCGTAGATGGAAGCAAACCGTTAGGAGCATTTTGGTTTTGGCTCTGGATCGTGCAATTTTCTCTCGTTGGGGTTTGTTTTCGGAATACTCATCTCTATTCTCCCTAATAACGTGTTCAAGCAAGTTTGGCTTTTCTAATTGTGTCAAAAGGTTTTCTTTACGGGCTTTCATCTGCCGGACATTCAGCTGTTTCGGCACAAACTTTGCCATAAGCATTCTGACGTTTAAACGCTCGGTTAAAATGACCTGGCATGGGTCAATTGAAATCTCGATCTGCCCAGCTATTTTTCTTATGGGGTTTTGCCAGTTGGCAAACACAAATTGTTTCACCCTTTTTAGGCTCCCATGTATAATCGCTGTCATAGGTCTTCCGAGACAAAGATTGCTTTTGATGAACTCCGTCATCCGTCTTCGAAACGTTTAAATAACCAGTTTAATTAAGCTTTACTCAGTGCCCAGTTTCCCCAGGCATCTTGCAATATCCGGTTGATTTTACTATCCACACAAAACCTAATCTATGCTAATTGCCTCATTTGAGAGAAATCCTAGAACGCACTATATACAGCCTTATTCAACTTCATCGGAAGACTCGAGATTCCGTCAAATCGTGATGAAACTGTACTTGTGTGTGGCAGAGGGCCTGCTCTTGTTTCCGCAACAAACGCAGACCGCAAGCGATGATCTAATAGAGCGAAAATTCAAACGACTCATGCACTTTTGAACGAAGGGTTAAGGTGTACGAATGCGATACCTAAGGAAAATAGCTTTTTCTCTCAAGAATAGTAAATGGATCAACGGCATTATTGAAACGGTGTCTCACAATTAGAATCGCGCTGATTGACTCCAAGTTAAGGGTTCGAATAAACTTCTAGAACAAGTGGCTTCAGGTATTTTTTCATTCGGTCTTCGTTGTCATATGAATATAAATCAGAATCCTTAATTTAGTTAAAATAATCATTTTATCTGTGCTTAAACTAAATATGTTTTAAAAAAAAATGAGAGCACATGCTCAATTTTCTTACTAACCATGTACTAAATTTAAGGTGAAATTCATAGTATTCTCTCGGAGCACATTGTTGACGCGTTTAAACGTAATGATGCATAAGTCATTTATCCTGAGCTAATCTTTATTTACTTTTCTATTATTCCCTTAACTAATTGAGAACACACATTAGCCCAATCTTTATGGCGGGGTCATCCTTTTCCCGCAAATGACCGTGTTTTTATTTTTTTTTTTCATCTATGGGGAAACAAGTAGGATTTTTAAGCGCTTGCAAAGATAAGAGGGAACAGCAGTCCTTTGGCCACAAGCAGCCTCGCTAGGGTAGGTTTTTAAGTGGAATACGTATTCAAACCCCAAGTTCTGTTTATCTACATAACTAAAGGAAAATGTGGCTTGTGCACATCCGCCTCGTAGAGTGACAGACGGTGTATTCTATCCAGGTAACATAACTGGCTGGATCAGTGCGTGCTACGTCCGCAAACTCTGTTTTTTTATATATCAGATACCGCCTAGGCTATATATAAAGAATACAGACTGTCGAAAATTTAAATAGGTCCGCTGTTATTCCGTCAACTATTGTTTTCATAGCTCTAGACAAATTCGCTACCTTAAATGAAACTTGCTTTCGGAAGTCGCAGTTCTCAAGAAATAAACAACCGATGCGATTCTCTGATGCTGTCGCTCGTTACAATGGTAGCTCTCTTTCTGATTAATAACGTGTTGACGCTTCAATAACAAGCCTTCTATTTTGTAGGACACTTGTATGCTCAAATACAATACATCATGATCTCTAAAGCAGGCTTTACACATTGAAATACTGGATGTTCGCCGATATACACTTAATATCCTTACCTGAGAAAAAATGAACGCAATGTTTGTTTAATCATGTTATTGTTTCATACGACATTTGATCTGTGACAGTTCGATTGAATGCTGAAGCTGTGCCGGTTCCTAGACCTGCCATGACCACGGAACCGAACAACCATAATAATAATATAGAGACCACCTGCTCGATCGAGCCGGTGACAGATACCGTCAAGGTAATTCTCTCTCCTTCATGAACTTCATTTGGTGTGCCAGTGCGCAAAGATCAATGGATTGCTTCCATTGGTTTCAACGTACATAAAATGGGCCATGTGGAGCATTCACTGAGTGCAAGCAAACTCCCCGCGTGTGCCTTTTCTTCTGATATGAAGGACTTTTGACGTAAGTAGGCCCATGAGAGTCACCACACCTTTAATCCGAACAATTTTTCTTAGCAATCGAAAGAGTTTGCCGTAATACGATACATACACGCGCTTCCTTTGTCTTTAAAGAATTTATATTTAGTACTTTTTCAAAGGCGCGCTTAGGACTAAACATTAAAGAAGCATAGTGAGTAATACTCTTGTTGTTCGCAAGCAACAGTATGTGCTTAAGACGTTATTAGTGGATATTATATTAGTGGATGAGATTATATAAACCTGTCCCCAATGACCCTTAACGCATACATGTACCGGTAAACGATCGTTAATCTCAGAAAGCGAACAGACATAGCTCTAGATAGACAAAAAGGTCTCGAATTTATTCGCCTATTAACTTTCATACATTTTTCTTGACTAAATTTCTAGTATGAGTCGTGATACGCTTAAAAACTATACAAACAAACGAACTCAAACGTAAGTAAGGACAAACAAAATGTTACATTTAAGTTATATTGAATTGAAAACTGTATATATCTAAGGCCATTCGAGATAATTATAGTGTCCAAAGAAGTGCTGGTCAACGAGAGTCGTCAATGTTTTACTGCTCAGATTTAAGCAAATAGACATTGGTACATGAAAGTAACGGTTCACGTTTCTGTTTCCCTCTGCCGGTTAATTACACTCGATAAGGTAAATTTACGTAGATTTGCATTCAATTCGTGTTGCCTATGAATAGACAACGAAATAATCCAACACGAAAACTCCGCTTACGTTTCGAGTTTTCGTTTAAAAAAGAGAGTAACGGAATGGCATAGTTTGTTCGTCATAAGAGGTGTACGAAAACGTGTTTCAATTCCTAGAATCAATAGGTATAGATATGGCATAGCCATTTGAAATTTTATACATCGATAATACGCAAAAATAAGCACGAGGTCTTCTAGACGCCTTCTACCTTAATGGTGTTTATCTAACAGCACTAGAGTAAAACGTTCAGGACAAGAAGAAAACGCCCGAGCCTCTCTTCAAATTGCTTCCGACAAGTGTTTTACCGTCATCTCATTGTTCCATTTCAGTATCGGTGTTTCATTTTCATCGGTACCAATTTCGAGCCGAGCGATTTTTCGCTACTTTGTTTCCCCGAAATTCCAGCAACGCTACCGCTACTATCACTGCAGCTCCTTGGTTGTCGACAATCCTGCGACGGGGTAACTGGTAAATGGATAGGAGGGATCTCGGCCTTCCGACTGGCTACAGCTGGCCCGCGAACGGGACGTTAGCGGCACAAGAGCGAACTAAAGCGGAAAAGCACGAGAAAGCCGTCGCCGAGCAGCGTCATAAACGAGCCTTTGATCCTCAAATATGGAAAACAAAGTAGTTCTCTACTCCTGGTTTTGTCGTCTTCGCCTTCCCACTAGCCTTTGGAGACAGCCCGTGATGGCCCTCAGCAGCTTGTAGAAATGACGGAGTTTTCCCAAATTCTCTGCTTCTCTTGTTTTTCATTCTTCCCCTTCTAACCCAAGTTCTCCATTCTTTCTCTTTACATTCTAAGCCTATCGCCTATCCCACCTACTCAGTTTTTCTGGCAGCGTTTCTTCAGATCTGTCTGGTTGCACTAGGCCGACTGATACTTATTTGCGTTCCGTTTTCCCAGTCGGGGTCTCTCAAATGCTGGATTATACCCCTCACGTTTTAAGTACGAAAATGGTGCCAATCAGATCTGCTATACCGATATTGTGTTCGCATTAACGATGATGGCTTTCAAAATATGAGGTCACGGCCAACGCATATCACTTAATAAAATTTCATTTGTGCTTAATCCATTCGCGTCCAATCCAAACGCACGACAACGAGCATCTCCCATTTGATGAAACAAGCTGCGTACATAGTACCTCAAATCCCGGTAAGATTCTTTATAGACACATCAATTCATCTGAGGAAGTACGCTGCCATAAACTGTGAAGTAGGTTGCACACACACTACAGACCAAGTTATCGCATCCTTGCAACAAGCGTTGATAAGACAATCTAACTGGCCTATAGTAAAATAACTATTAAGCGACCATTCTTTGCGACCGTTTCGCCGATAGCGACCGTTTCATTGTTAAAATGAGGCTTTGCTTTATTTGAGGCCCGTTCGTGATCTTGATACGGATAAGAACCCCAGTTGATAAACGCAGCAATGTTTCCTTTACAGCGTGTTGGACAATTCTTAGCTCTTTGCAACATTTTAACTTTGTTCGCGTTCTTACATTTCAATTAAGTTACTAATACTAGTAAGTACAGTGAAATAAACAAGATCTATTGCAATAGTAAGAATAATAATAAATATAAGATGATGACACCGTGGGTAAGCACCAGACTCTCAACGATCAGATTCCTGTTTCAATCGTTAGGCGAGACCAAAAAGCTCGAAATTATTTTAATATCAGCCATATTATGCGGTTATGTTGACTAGCGTGAATATGATTACCTTTACCAACCTTGCTACCTAAAAAGTCCCCATCAGGCCACTCAGAAGAACCCTTCAACAGGTATTGGTGCTAAGATGTACATTTTCAGGTAAACAACAGTTTTGCTTTACGGGCTGTTATTCTACTACGGATTCGTACGTTACATCGCATATTGTAGAGAGCCAGCTTATGTTACGCAATACTTTTAAATTTTTCATAGATATACGTATCCTAAGACGTGTCCTAAGAGAGATAGTAGAAATGCGTTAGCCTTTGTCTTTAGGTTACAATCAATTTGTTTAGAAATCTCTGGGTGACATTGTATGTGCAGTGCTGGCGAATATATTCCCAATTAGATTTTATAGCAGAAGCGCCGCGTGAAACTTTCATAAATTGCACTTAACCTATATAAGTGTATCATTTCTTCTAGTATCTACGACGGAGTTTATTTTAGGGCTTATAAGCAGCAAGATCTTGCGTCTACCTATTAAATAGGCGACACGCTCCGCGGCGCTAATCCAGTTGTTCTACCTTATACTGGTGTATAATACAGGGCGAAGCAACACTCATGACAGTTATAGTCTTGATTTTAGTAGTTTTTTCTACTACTATCTTTTTTTACCACAGTTTACTCTTCTGCTACCTCAGAAAAAAACGAAACTCCTATCGTACTTTATTAAAAACACCTGATGTTATGCTGACCTAAACTAAACAAAAAAAGGAAGAGTTTAAAGACCCCTAGTCTGCAAATAATGATCAGCAAATTGGTTCAGTACTATGTTATTTGTTATTAAACCGGTCGGATGACCACTCTAGACCAAACACGATTTAGGTACAACTATTAATGTTAACAGAACTATCTTGCAACACACAAAAACTCTTATCGGGTGGAGTCATCGACGAGTAAAATGAGTAAATGTACTTATCGAACGATTCTTGTGTTTTTCGCGAACAAATACTTACTGACTGCAACCATCAGGGCTTTACCCCCTCATTTCGTCGTTGCTCGTGCATTATGTCAGTGTCAACGGCGTGAGACAGATTCACAATGGCGAATCATAGGCGCAACTACTTTATTTCCCATAGGCTTTTCGTAATTCTTCTACATTGTCTAAGTAGTAGCACTCAAAACCGCGATCCGTTTAGAAAAACTCTACAAGGACTGTAAAGTTGCGGCACAGCCTGGTAGATAAAAGTTCAACAATTGATTACCTTTTTGAAATACGACTACTCGATGGCGTTAACAAGACTTTTGAGAGCAATACATGGGTATAGCTGGTTAGACTTCAGGTCTCTGTGCTCTAATTAAACTTCGATATGGGCGACCCGTCTGAAGGTATGAGTAACGAAGGCCGAAGAAACCGATTAATTTATATTCGCATAATTTGAAAATCTTAGACCGGACCGATGTTTCATAATGGCTGTAAAAAACATTGTCCCTTCCCACCGTAACGATAATTAAGCGACATTACTTTAACGAATAGAGCACGTAGACGGTGGGGTGAAATAAGGAATAGACTGAACTTACGATCATTTTAAGTTTGTAGCTATTTGAAGACTGGAAATTGTAAAAAGGCGTTTCTGCTTAAGGCATTCAATGAATTGGCAGCTAGCTACGCAAGGACGACCGTAGGCTGCCATTGTTTTTATTCAATAGTTTGCAATAAAAAAAAATTACGGGTCTGAGATCGAAGATGGTGGTTTGATAAAATGAAACAAAGCGCGATTGAAACAAAAAGCTCATTTGCACAAACGTAAATTGGCTCAGTAATGCTGAACACACGCAAGTCGAAATACAGGTTGCCGTAAAGACCACGTTAATAATGCACACAAGAACAAACATAAAGAAACAGCGGCTGACATTTGACTTTCATGTAAATGACGCTTTACGTAGATTAGTATAACGTTTCATTTACTGCGTGGAGTCCATATTAATATTAGGGGTGAACAATAGGCCTGGGCCATTTGTATCACTTTTACGTTACTTTTGTATATGTAACAGGATAGTACATACCACTACCACAGACGCGGACATCTCTTTCGACTCAAAGACGTTCCGTCATCTGTTACGCACCGAAATTGTGTTTATAGTTGGACGCTGTCTATGTTTGACCGGTTGCCATCGGAAACGCGTTTTTTTCGACTCTTTTTACTTTTTTCAGTGCTACCGCCGCTGTTGATGTTGTCACAGGGGCCAGTCAAATCGGATGGACAACACTGCCAGCTATAAGTCCAGACCCGATCCGACGGCTCCAACTCTTCGATTAGGACCTCCTTAGATCTGTTGAAAGGAGGGACCCTGGTAACGGAGAAAAGTGCGGATATAGCCTTTATGGGAAGCCAAAAAGAAGGGAAACATTGGCACAGACGGAATCGCTCGAGGAAGACAACTAACAGCCCTTTTCCCTTGTTTCCACGTCATCTCCTTTCTCGTCGTACGACAGCGAAGAAACGTGTAACCCGACGACTTAACGGGCACACTATTTACCCCTATAAATTCCGAGTCTACACCAGCCCTTAACGAACAACCCCCGGCGATTCGAATCGAATAACCACAACGACGGCGGGTCTCACAATACCTAAGGCACAGACAACGTCGACGCCGATGGAACAGCCACAGAACGAGTCATTGTCAGCGCGACTAGAGATAGAGAGAGAAAGAGGCTTAGATGAAAAAGACAAGGGATAGGAAAGGCGATTCGTTCCAATCGTCGCAGTAGCAGCTATACACTAGGCCTCGACACATTATCGAATGAGGGAATACGGGTGCAGGATTTGGGGTAGACGAAAACAACATTGCTTCTAGTGCTGGCGTTTGCGATCGAAGCGCCGTGATGCACACCGTACGACTTAAGCGTTGGCAGGCACATCGCTGTCGCGTTTTTTGCTAAGGTCTGCGGTGTCGTTGACATCGATGGAGGGTAAAGCACCGGCTGACCCAGCCTAATCGAGCCAGCTCGGTGACGACTACTCAAAGCCTTTTCAGTATCTGCCGAGTCCGGTCGCAAAGCAGCGAACCTAGCGAGAAGCTAGTCTCACACAGGAGCAGCAAATCTGGCCTGATGCCATCGGAAACGTTTTGTAGTCTCTTGTTCCTTCACACCATCGTCGGTAACTGGTTCTGGCGAAGAGCGTCGACTTCATACTCTTGGGACATGGTTAATGCGTTCTTCAGCCTTTGGCCGGAAATCGATCTGGTTTCGCCTTTTGCCTCTTTAATATAAGAAGTACTACCCAATAGAGCAGACACATACGTTGTATTATATCGGCTGGCGACATAGTTAATAGTATTAGTGATACAGATCCTGTCACCATACTTCCCTCCTTCCTTACTGTGTAAAATTGAGGCTAACGAGTCATCTACTGAAGAAAGCTAAAACGGGAACATAGAGCATTGAAACGAGCTCATTAGGTATTTTTGGGTAGCTATAGCAATATTAGGCTGTCGACAACTCATCACTATGAAAAACACGATACAATTGATGATACATCTCAAAGGAGAAAACGTTTATATATATATATATATATATATATATAAGCATAAGACAGAAAAGTCATGCTAACATACATCTCCCGATTATTAGACAAAGGCCTCTCTTATATGCAAGAAGTTCATTGTTTATTAATAAAAGCACGTAGATTGGTCCTAGACAGGACTCTTTGTCGGCTAGCAAATGTTTAGATTGCTTGTTTGTGTATAAACATAATTGAGTTCGAAGAGGACGAGCATTCTCTTGGTCGTAATTCTCATAGGTAACTCATAGGTATATAATGAAAATGCTTCTTCTGAAAGTTACTTACGTTCATATATGGCTGTGAGCTGGTCAAGACGTTCCGAAGTGTATGGTCTATTATATACATATATATATATAGTGATTCAAAACATGTTAGCATGCAATTTTTTTACTTCTGATTAATTGCTACTGATTTAGGCCCTGTGCCATCCGCAAAAGTCATATTCGCAAGACATTTAGTTGGGATAAAATGACGGTTTAACTAAACCAATAGCTAGCGTGTGAATTACAGTTGATTGAATTACCTTTGAATAACAACTATAGAATGTGTTAAGTTATCCAGTTTTGATCCTCAAGCGCAGCGATTTATTAAGATGAATATTGTTGTATGTTTTCCGAGTGATCTCTATTTGTCACTTGTCAAGGTCCTCGATTTACTAGTCCAGGGCCTATCCCTCACGTAATTAAATAAGTCTACCATTCCATCTGCAGTAAAGTTCTTTTGGTACAACACTCGTCACAAAGCGTGCGATGAACTTCGCTATCCGCTAATGAATACATTAATATAAATAAATAAATATACATTTCGTTTTTATCTAAACCTTCCAATTTTCAAACATATTATTATTATTATTTCTATGAATCAGAGTGGCCGATAGTTTCCTCGAGGATTAAAGTAGCAGCACTAGTGCAAGAACTTTAACGTTTAGATTCGGTCGAACGCTTGCTCTTATTGATTATTTTAAAAAAGACAAGTCATAGGTGGAACAGCCGTACAACAACGCGTACCGTTGACGCGACTTGGAGAGATCTTCACTGTTATTAAAGCCATTCTGCATATCCATTTTTAGAAACCGTACAGCTGCGACCTTTCGTGTGGGTTTTTTATTGAGAGTCGATCAACAGGTTAACAATGACTGTTGGCTAGATACATCAAACGTACGTACGCTTGCTTTGGAAAAGCTCGCTTATCATGACCAGAGTGCTGGAG